GGGAAAAGTCTTATCTGCGGGGTCATCTCTGGACCAAGTCAAATGCAGACAGTTCTGCTAATGGGGTCTTCCAGGAAACCACGAGACAGAAACTGGGACCCTTTTCTAGGAATGCTGCTTTGGCTCCATCCAGGGGCTGACAGGCTGCTCATTTTTAGGCAACTAGACAGCTGAAGAGTGGGGGACGGACCAAGTGAAAACACCTCATAGCTTGAAGACATGGGGACAGTAGAAAGCTGTGCCCCATTGGTGGGAACAAGAAATGGTGCAGCCGCCATGGAAAACAGTGTGGAGGGTCCTCAGGAATTTAGATGTGGAACCACCATCCAGCCCAGCCCCTCCACATCCGGGTATCTACATCCAAAGGAACTGGGAGCAGAGTCTCCAAGGGATGAGTGCACACCCCTGTTCACTGTAGCATGACTCACAGCGGCTAAGACAGGGAAGCACCTGAATGCCCACTGACAGATGAATGGGCACCCACACGTGTGTACACATCGTGTACTCAGCCTCAGAGAGGAGGACCATCTGCCGCCTATTGCCACCTGGTGACCCTTGGGGACGCTGTGCCCAGTGAGAGCAGCCAGCCACAGAAGGACAAGTCCTGTAGGACGCCACTTGCATGAGATACTTAGAGGAGCCAAAATCACAGAGACTGACGGGGTGCCAGGGGCCGGGAGGAACAGAAATGGGAGTCACTACTGAACGGGCACTGAGGTTCAGAGTCACAAGATGAGTGAGTCCTGAGATGGATGGTGGTGACGGCCCTTCAGCAGTGGGAACGTGTTTAATACCACTGAGCTGTGCATGTAAAAACGGTCAGGATGATAGCAAACAAAACAAACACCTTAAGGCTTGCTGTTCTCACCAAGATTCAGCCAATTTTCTGGATTACAACCCAAAACAAGGAACTCTTCAAAGCCTGTTGCAGCCGGGTTGGTCTCCAGGTGCTGAAAATGTCCGTGCGGCCACTCTTACCCATGTTCTCACTGCTCTCACAAAGGAAAGCATTTCCAGAGGTCCTCATTCTGCCGTGTCTGCTGAGGTCCTGCCATCTTCATTTGGATGAAGGTACCATGGCTACCGCTGAGAGCAGAGGACCATGTCCTTGGGAGGCAGACCCTGCCTGTATCTACAGCCAGATGGAAGCTGGTCCCCTCCTACGCCTGCAGCTCAGCTTCCGCAGCCCCACCTCCTCAACGAAGTGGGCTGGCAGTGTTGCCAGTCTCTCCCAGGCGTGCGGGGCTATCCAGAGGCTGCAAGGCCAGTCAGGTGCAGACAGGGATGCTTGGAACAGTCCTGGGCTCACGGGGCCCCTGCAAGTCAGGCACGGTCACAGGGATCTGCCTGCAGGGGAAGCCCATTGGGCAAAGCGCCCACAGCTCGGCAAGAGAGGAGGGCAGGCGTGTGCTGTGTGGGGCTCAGCTTGCTAGCACCCGCCCCTTCTAGTGCCTTCCTGGACTGCAGAGGTGGCAAAGCTAAACCCAGGATCCAGGATTCCCAGACCCAGTTGGGCTTCACATACCAGAAGGGCTCCGAAAAACCTGGCTCCAGAGCAGAGGTCAAGGGTGCAAGGGAGGCAGGGGACTGGGCAGGTGGGGCCCGGCGGCCACCCTGCACACAGTCCTGGAAGTCATTCTTGGAAGCTCAGCCTTCTTAAAGGCTCTGGAAGCCACACCCTTGCTTACATTAGTCAGACTCGTTCTGTGGGAGCCCTGATTGGAAACAAAGCCATGACGAGACAGGGCCAGATGGCACTCCCTGAGACTTACACATGGGCACCTCCAAGGAGCTGCCAGGGCAAAGGCCCTGGGGTGGAACAAGCAGGGTGTGTCTGTGCACATGGAGGGGTGCTGGGACAACAAGCTGGGGAGACCCCCTGGAAAGCTGACCTGTTGCTGGACTATTCAGACCTTCAGGACCGAGGTGGCCATTGGGAAAGTTGTGTGTGCAGAGACTGTGGTGTCTGGCAGGACCGAGGCCCTTGGTAAATGTCTGGTGAGAGGGCAAATGAGCAGACAAATGTGTGCCTGTCTAACTGGCGGGATCCCCCTGGGGAGCCAGACACCAGTGCTTGAGACAAGCCTGTCCCCGGGTGGGGTACCAGGGAGGCCTGTGCCACGCCTAGAGAGGGCTCTGAAAGGACCCTTGTTATACCAGACCTCAAGGGCCCTCCGCACCCCACGGGAGCAGCCTGGGCTCTGGGACCCGGGGGGCAGTGACACAGCCCAGGGGGTGCAGATGAGGACACAGAGCTCACCCAGCACTCCCCTGCCTGCCAGGCCTATTCTCAGCAGCCCACAAACACAGACTTCTAGAAATCCCACACAGCCCTCAAGGGCCAGTGAGAGCCCACCAACCCCACCCCTCAGACTAGGAGGAAAGGACATCACAGCTGCCCAACCTCAGCCAAGAGGCTGGCTCGTCAATTGCTCATCCTTACTCTAGACTAATTTGAGCTACAACAGACACCTGAGTCGGGAGCAGGGATAAGGGGTGCCCGCTGCCGTCACGTGGAATGGAGGGTCGGACAGGACAGCTCTGCCACTGGAGCAATGGGGGTTCTACAGAGAGCACAGTGGGTGCAGACAAGGAGGTAGGGGTGCAGACGGGGAGGGTGAGGTTCAGACAGGATCGGGGTGCAGACAGGGAGGGTGGGGGTGTGGAGGCCTGAACAGCAGCCACCGTCCTGAGTCCCACTGCCTGAAACCAGCTGAGTGACTGATCAAGAAGTGACTTCCAGGAAGGGACCCTAGAATTAGAGTCAAGCAATTAATGCAGCAGCACTCGCCGAATTAACAGAACCCAATTGACAGAATGTACACGGTCTGCAGCCCCTCCCCCACACCCAGGGGAGTAGGGTTTGGTGGTCAGGCTCACTTCTGGGCCCCCAGCACTGAGACCCAGGAGGTATTCCTCAGGGTTAATGACTGGATGGCTTTCCCTTGGTGGGGGCAGGGGGGAGGCGCTGCCTAAGTCTGGCGGGACCTTTGTAGTGGGGTCTCTGTGGACAAGAGCTCCCAAAGCCCCCTCAGGGGATTCTGTGATTCTCGAAGGGAGGCAGGACCTGGCAGTGCTAGGTCAGCAGCTGAACCGACTCCCTGCTGGCCAGGTCCCCACCTGAGGCCCAATGGAGGCCAAGGGGCCACAGGTCAGCTACCTTGGCCTTTAGTTCTCCTTCCCAGGTCCCATTGTATCCCAAGAATCCCCTCAGGCATGTCCTTGGGGGGGGCAGTCACCAACAATGGAAGTGGAGCCCCTCCCATGGGAGCCCAAGCAAGGAAGGGGGGCCTCTGCCTGTGGGCTCCAGGCCAGGGTCCTCTGGCAGCACATCCCGTGCCCCCATGCCAGGGTCCTTGAGTTGCAGAGGCTTTCCACATGGGTGTGGGGGTGCTGGGATCAGAGCCCCCCGTAAGATGGGGCAAGCCTGAGGCCAGGGCCACCCCTGAACAGTGCATGAGCAAACCATGGCAGGAGAGCCAGCTGCAACATGGCCCTGGGCCCATCTCCTGCTTTCTCTCCCAGAGAAAGGCCCCTGCTTCTCGAGAACAAGACACAGGTGCACGGACAGCACTTGCCTTCGCTCACATTCTCTCCCAGGCGTGTGGAGTTTCTCCAGAGGCTGCAAGGCCTGTCTGCCCAGGCTGGGCTCCACTCCACACCTCCCGCCTGCCAGAGGGTCACATGTGGAGGCCCAGCTGTCTGCCCACAAAGCCGGGCAGAGAGAGAGCTGCGCAAACATAGAACCAGGCCAGTCTTTGAAAAACGTAGCTGTTTTTCATGAAACATTATGCTATTTATGTGAATGTATTTTCATTGGTAAGGGAGTTAATATGTATTCTGAACATTTCTGTTACGATTTCGAATATGGGAAGTATTGATGGCTCTAACCACACACACGGAAGCTCTTTGGGGTTCTCAGTGATTTTTAAGAGTGCCAGGGGTCCTGAGACCAAAAAGTTTGAAAACCCCGCGTGGGGATCCGTGTTCAGCCTGAGGACCTGCAGTCTGGCTACTTGGGCTGCTCTCTGTGGCTGTGTGTGTATTTGAAATACAGCTCAGGTCATTGGTCATTCGTTTTTGTTTGTGTTCTATTCCCGGCGATTCTTTTTTCCTCTGTCCCTCGGTCACCACTGCCCCCCCAATCTGGAATGTTAACAGTTCCAAAAATCAGAATGCTTTCTGTTTGAGCTTAAAAGCTCCCTGAGCAGTTCTGATAAGAGCTTCCCTTCTGTTCCCAGACCCCACGATTAGGGTTCTAGAAATATTTTAATGACCGTGAGCAGTGACCAGCTTTGGTCATGTCCCCCTGCCAGGCGTCCATGGAGCTCTACCCCACCGAGGGAAGCTGGGTGGGGACCCTGAGCCACCTCCCTGCCCCAGAGAGCCTTTCAGGAGCTGGGACAACTCTACCCATGTGGTTCTGGCTCCCCTCTGGAGGGACAGCCTCAGGATGCCCTGGCCAGCCATGTGGCCGGCAGCTGTGTGGACGCTGACGGGCTGTGTGTGCCCAAACCCAGCACCCCAGGCCAAGGGATGCCTGAACTGGGAGGCCCCACTTCTCCAGCTCATCTCCAACACAGGGACTGACGTCAGGCCAGGAATGTGGCCCCTCGGTCCCACCCTGCCTGGAGGGTGTAATATGCTGGCACTCCCCAGCCCAGCTCGCCTCCCAAGCCTCCCAGCCGTGACTGTGGCAGCACCTCCCGGGAGACACTAAGCCGGGTTTGTTGGGAAGGGGGAGCGGCCCGGAGAGGAGCGGAGGGCGGGGAGGCGGGAGGGAAAGACAAAGAAAGGGGTGCGGCAAGTGGCAGGCGCCCGAGGGAGGAGAGTGACCTCAGCTCCGGAGAAGCATCTGCTTGGCGTCAGAGCGAGGGCGGACGGCACTGGAGGAGCCCCTTCTCTCCCTCTCCCCGTCTGAGCTTCGGCTCTCTGCGGCGCCGTGGCTGGCTGGGGGCTGTCCTGGGCGTAAATTAGAGCTCTGGGCTCTGGGCTCCCGCGGGGACCATTCGCTGCCACAGACCAGCCACCAGCCCTCCCGCCACTCCTGCTGGGTGAGTAGGTGTGTGAGGGGGATGCTCCCCTGTCCCCATCTGGAGGCGCTGGGCCTCCTGGCACTTTCCTGGGCCCGGCAGCCCGCAGCACCGGGAAGCCTGCATTTGCTGGGGTCATCCCAGGCACCTCGTGCCTGAAGTGCACCCTCCAGATTTCCCGGACTCAGGGATGCTGCCCCCCCCACGCCCCCCCCTCCTCCATCCCCCCTCCCCCTCATGGCTGAGACCAAGCCAGGACTCCGAATCTGCTGGGCTTGGGATCCAAGTGTAACCTGACCCGGCTTGGCTTTCAGGGATGGGACGGGGGTCCCCCTGAGCCTGATGTGGGTGGGGGTGAGAAGGCATAGGTGGGGAACGCTGCACTCCAGGAGGTCCTTGCCTCTGCCTCCTCCCCAGGGACCTGTGGTGCCAGCTGGTGGAGCTCTCCCTCTGCTCCTAGGTCATGGGAGCCCCAAGTCACGCCAGCACCTGGGGCAGGGCCCTCTGGGCTGTCCTCCTGACCACACTTGGCTCTGTGGCCAGCCAGCCGCTGGGGGGAGAGTCTGTCTGCACAGCCCGGCCCCTGGCCAAGTACAGCATCACCTTCACGGGCAAGTGGAGCCAGACAGCATTCCCCAAGCAGTACCCCCTGTTTCGGCCCCCCGCACAGTGGTCCTCCCTGCTGGGTAAGTGCAGCGGTGCTGCCCGGTCCCGCCCAACCCGCGGTGACCCTCGCCCCACCCCAGCGCTGCACCGAACTTCCCCGTGGGCAGGGTGGGCGCGCTCATCCCGTTTCCTGCACTGCCAGAAATCTCTGCTGCGCACGTCCTGCCGGGCTTGGGCCCTGCCCGGGGAACATGCGCCCCTCCGCCGGTGGCTCACACGCCCCCTCGCGCGCAGGGGCCGCGCACAGCTCCGACTACAGCTTGTGGAGGAAGAACCAGTACGTCAGCGACGGGCTTAGGGACTTTGCGGAGCGGGGCGAGGCCTGGTCCCTGATGCGGGAGATGGAGGCGGCGGGAGAAAAGCTGCAGAGCGTGCACGAGGTGTTCTCGGCGCCCGCCGTGCCCAGCGGCACCGGACAGACGTCCGCGGAGCTGGAGGCCCACTCGCGACACTCACTGGTGAGCCGGGCGGCGGTGGGGGGAGGAGGGGGACCGCGGCTGCCCGGCTAAGCGCCCGCCCTCCCCCAAGGTGTCCTTCGTGGTCCGCATCGTTCCCAGCCCGGACTGGTTTGTGGGCGTGGACAGTCTGGACCTATGCGACGGGGACCGCTGGAGGGAGCAGGTTGCTGTGGACCTTTACCCGTACGACGCGGGAACCGACAGCGGCTTTACCTTCTCCTCCCCCAACTTCGCGACCATCCCGCAGGACACGGTGACGGAGGTAAGGGAGGACGGAGGGGAGGGGATGATGGAGGGGAGGGACCAGAGGTCCCCCCCAACAGGTGGCTCTCAGGTTAGTGCGCCGCCTCGTCCCTGACCGCAAGACGCCAGGTCTGCACGCGGCAGCTCTTCAGGGCGGAGGGCCTAGGCGGCGCACCAGACTGCCGGGGCGGACCCCGCGGCCCCACCTGGAGACCCCGCCCCGAGACCCCGCCCCGCGGCCCCACCTGCGACCACGCCCCGCGGTCCCGCCCTATGCGTGCTCACGTAGGCCGCCTGGTGTCGCCTGGCCGCCGCGGATAAGGCTGCTCTCTCCGCAGATAACCTCCTCCTCTCCCAGCCACCCTGCAAACTCCTTCTACTACCCCCGGCTGAAGTCCCTGCCCCCCATCGCCAGAGTGACCTTGGTGCGACTCCGGCATAACCCCAGGGCCTTCGTCCCGCCCGCCCCAGGCCCCGTAGGCGCTGGCGGGAGCAATGAGATCGTGGACAGCGTCTCAGGTGAGCGTGTTGGCGCCCCGCCGCCAGGACCCCTGCAAGCTCTGGGCCGCAGCACGGCCATTCTGGGCACCAGGGAGGCCCTGATGGCCCGCGGGCTGCAGTGGGAAGAAGCACCTCTCGGGTTTGCGGGCCACACAGGGACCTGTGACAGGGTAGCTGTCAATACTGACCCCCGTTAGGTCCTTCTGTCCCACTTGCACAATAATCCTTAATGGCGAGTGGCCACCACACTGAAACAGGAAAGGACACTCGGGGGCAGAAACTGTCCCAAAGGGACCTCTTTGAGGAGTCAGTGACACCTCCACACACTCCACTTCCCAAGACCACACTGGTAACCTGCTCCTCATGGGGGCCAGTGGTCCAGGGATCACGCCCCTTCGTGTCTACCCACTCCAGTGATTCCCCCAGGGCAGTCCCCCATCCAGCTATGGCAGAGCTGGGAAAGGTGCTCCCTCCCAAGACGGCTCCTGGGTGTAATGTGCCCTCATGGCTAATGGGGGCCGTGGGGGAGAGAAAGATGGCGGGGCAGGTGGTGTTAGGGTATGCAAGGGGCGGAGTCAAACCAGCCAGAGGCTGTGTGAAGAAAGACAGGGGCCCAGGTGTTGGGCATAGGACGCTGTGGGCTCTAGGGTTCCCCCCCCCATCCCGTTCAGCATTGGATGGCAAGGGCTCTGAGGTTTAACCCTCCCCTTAGGAAGCTGGGGACCCTGGGGGTTTGGAGCCCTTAGTGCAGCACAATGGGGGTTTGGGGAGATGTGCGTTTTGGCTGACCAGTGAACAATTGTACATTTGCCCAGGAGTGAGTGGTAAAGCAGGCCCCCATCAGTGGCGTCCCCGCGTGTGACCTGTATCATAGCTGATGGTCAGGACACCACTGAATGGATCCTTCTCTGTTCCCCTCCCCTGCCCCCTGGCAGAAGGGATAGTGGGGGTCCAGCCGTGAGCAGGTGTGGGGGTCTGAAACACAGAGCCCCCTGCCAGCCCAGCTGCATCAGAGCAGGCCCCTTCCCTGGCCTCCTGGTCCCAGCTGCCAGAGCTGGCATCCCAGAGTCCCCCATGAGGGGGAGTCCCTGGAGGTGTCTCAGTGGGGGCTTGCAGGCGGTGTGATTGGCGGTCTTGCAGTGGGCTCTAAGGCATGCTGATAAATCCCCACTCCTCGTGATGCCCACATGGGGCTGGTCTTGTACAAGAGACGCACACCTGCTCACAGGCCTCTCGTGCTCGGTCCAGTTGCAGAAACGCCGCTGGACTGCGAGGTCTCCCTGTGGTCATCCTGGGGGCTGTGTGCAGGTCCATGCGGGAAGCTGGGAGCCAAGAGCAGGACTCGCTACATCCGCGTGCAGCCTGCCAACCACGGGGCACCCTGCCCCGAGCTCGAAGAGGAGGCCGAGTGCGTCCCTGACAACTGTGTCTGAGACCAGAGCCCTGCAGGCCCTCCACCCCTCGTGGTGGCTGAGCCTGGTGGTTCAGTGGACCATGTGGGGCTCTGTCCACCACGTCTCTGAGCTCCGGTGCTGACCAAGCCCCCCACACAGATGGGTCTCCAGTGGCTGGATGGAGCAGGACTCCGGGGGAGGCATCTCCTTTCAACAAGCTCTCCCCTCGGGCACCCAGTCCTGGGACCTACTCTTCTGGGGGAGTTCAGCCCTGAGGTTACATTGAGCTCCACTCTACTTCCTGCTGGTCGGAGGTCGTCTTGCGTGCGGACTGCGTGTCCACAGGGCCACAGCATCCATCTACAGGAGAGCTGCACACCCAGCCCCAGGAGCCCCAGGCTACCACGGATATGAAATACCTTGGACCTGCTGTCCCTGGGGGCACCAGCGCCCACAGGCCGAGACTATCCCGGACAGGTCATGTAGGTCAAGTGGGTAAAGGAGAACAGGCTCCGACAACTCGCCTTGGCATTGTCACATGACCCATCTCCTTTCACTTGAATAAAGACTGTTTCCTGACATCAGGGGCCCTTGTCTTGCATTTCCTGGCAGGGCCCCGGGAGGGCCACTGTCCCACCCCAAGTAGAGTCTCCCCTGCCTGGAGGGCATGCCGAGATTCCTGGAAGGACACTGGGCAGCCTCTGACTGGCGCGAAGGAGATGTTCACACACACCCAGCACGCGGGGGCTGCTGGTGGGACTAGTGGGGACCTCAGAGGAACAGCGAGGCCATGTGCAGCCACCCACAGCTGTTCCCTGAGGCCAGCCGGTCCCTGCGCCTGGCCACTGACTGCCAAGCCCTACCACCTCATACAGCTTCCCTGAGGGCTCACTGTTCCTCCGCCCGGGCCCTTGTCTGAGGTCAGGGGTCCCCACCTCACCCACCAGCATGGATCCCATGGGAGTCTCTGAGCCCTGGGCTGGGCTGGCCACTCAGAGAAAGATCAGGAGATGGGGAAAGCCTCCTCTCTATTCCTATAACATTCTTCCACCTGCTTGGACACATGCAGAATCAGATCCAACAACTACCCCTCCCCCCTTCTGTCCACTGCCCTCTCCCACCCACCTCCCCCACCCTTGTCCACCACCCCCTCAATGTCCCTGCTGATATCTGGTTACTTCCATACAGAGACCCCTCTCACCTCTGCTTCTCTGTTTTCTCTGACACTTCTCCCACCCACTCTCTTGAGGGGCAGTCTCGGGTCCCCACATGCTCAGACCTCCTGCTGAGGAGCCATCCACACCCCGTAGAAGCAGCTCATGCAGGACACCGTACCCAGCCTCGGACACATCCAGGGCCATCCCTCTCCTGTCCCTACTTGGTCATTCGCAGCAGCCATTGTCTCCCCCTCCTATCTTGGGGGTCGTTTCTCTTGGCCTCCCTTTCCCCATCACGTCCTCCTGCTCCTGTGTCCACTTCCACCCACTTGCCTAGGAAGGACTCTCCCCATTTCTGGTTCCCAGTGTCTCCCTCCACATGGGACTCCCTGCTTTGCTGCCGTGGGGGGCTCCATGTCCACTGCACCGCTGCCCCCAGGGTCCACGCTCCTTGCTCTTTGGCCTCTCCCTCTCAGCAACCCCTCCCCCACCCACCTACCCTCCCAACATGTCCCCGCTGGATAGGCTGTTCTCCTTCCCTATCTCTTCTGATGGAGCTCCTCTACCCTGGACACCCCTCCACACTGTGCTCCTATACTCCCCCGACACTCCTGCCCACTGCTCTCCTTTACCCCCCCGATGCCCCTCCCCACAGCTCCCCTTTACCCCGCTAACCCCTCCCCATGACCACCACCCCACACCCCTCTCCACAGCTCCCCTCCACCCCTCCCCACAGCTCTCCTCCACGTCCCCCCCCCACCCCTTCCCGTGAGCTTGATCTCAGGCCCCTCCGCCCTATATTGTTGCTGACCTCCTTGTACCCATTCCTCTCTCGAGAAGAGATGTATGTCCCCAGTGGTCGCCTTGACCCTCAACCTAGGGGAGGAAGCAGTGAAAAAGCGGCTTGTGAACCTTTATCCCCCAACAGGGAGTAGACTTCCAGCCAGCACCTCGGGTATGTCCTGCCCAACAGACTGGGGGCTGTAGCCTAGGAGGAGAGACTCACCTGAAGGATGTTCTCAGCAGATGGTCCCTGAGGGTCTCTAAACACATCACCTCAGGGCACAGCTGAGATAACTCATGACACCTCGCTTTCCAGGGCTGGGGTGCCCGCCTGTGCTCCTCACTGAGAGCCCAGAAGGACCTGGAACATGGTCTCAGCACTAGAGCAGCTTCCCGGCCCCACCGCCAGGGCACATGCTTCAGGAGCAGCAGGCACACGGTTTGCAGGAACCAAGGTGGGCAAAAAGACCCTGTCCTGGAATACTGGGGATCTGTCCTCTGACAGCTGATTGCTGCTCCTAGTAACAAAGGTGCAGACAGAGAGGCCGCACCACTGTGGTTGTCTCCTGCCCTGCCCCCCACTGCAAAACCCTCCCTCTCCAGCTGAAGTACCCTCCAGGGAATTTGAAAGGCGAGCACACTTTTCTCCTCACTCCCCCTTTATTTTTCACCTTTTTCCTCTTTGGGGAGCTAAATAGTAAAGACAAGGACATTCAAAAGCAATTGCACATATAAGGGAAATTAGGAAGTGACCACACATGTCCAGGGAAAGTCTTGAAAAGACCTAGGAAGATGTTGAGTTACCCTCAGCTGGATCCTCAGTACAGAGACAGCCTATGGCAATCAAAGAAAAAACCTAGGGGCACCTGGGTGGCTTAATCAGTTAAGCATCTGACTCTTGATCTCAGCTCAGGTCTTAATCTCAGGTCTTAATCAGGGTAATGAGTTCAAGCCCTGTGTTGGGTTCCACATTGGGGGAGCCTATTTAATTAAAAAAAAAAAAAAGGAAGGAAGGAAGGAAAGAAAGGAAGAAAGCAAGAAAGAAAAGAAAAAACATAAACCTTGGAGAACAGGGAGAATCTGATTTTCAGAGTTGCCACATTATTACATTCAAAGGTCCAGTGTTCAACAAAAAATTGCAAGGCATACAAAGACACAGGGAAATATGGCCCAATCAAAGGAAAAAAGTAAATCAACAGGAACTGCCTCTTGAAAAAAGTCTAATGGCAAACATACTAGAAAAAGACTTTAGAACAATGGCTTTAAAGATGCTCGAAGAACTAGATCAGACTCCCTTCTTATCTGTAATTACTTACATGTAAATGGATTAAATTCTTAAAAGACAGAGACTGGCAGAATCTATAAAAACACCTGATCCAACCATAGGTTGTCTACAAGAGACTCACTTGAGATCCAAAGACAGATAGACTGAAAGTGAAAGGATGGAAAAACATACTCCATGCAAACAATGACCTGAGGAGAGCAGCGGCGGCCACACTAACATCAGACAAAATAGACTTAAATTTGAAAATGGTTACAAGGGACAAAGGACAGTATACACTAATAACATTTCAGTATAAGAAAACATAACAATTATAAACATTTACAAACCCAGTGACAGACCATCAAACTATATGAAGCAAAAACTGACAGAAATGAAAGGAGAAATTGCCAGCAGTACAGTAACAGTTGGAAATGTCAGTCCCCTGCTCATAGTAGAGGATGAACAGCCAGATTGAAGATAAGTAAGGGCACAGAGGACTTGCCCCAAGCTGCCAGCCAAATGCAGCAGACACACAGAGCCCCTGCCCAGCGACAACCCCACAAACGTTCTCCTCACTCGCACTCGGGACAGTTTACAGGACAGACCACATGGGAGACCACGTGATTAGTCTTAGTAGTATTTATAAGGTAGATATCATACAAAGTGTCTTCTCTGGCCACAACAGGATGAAGGTAGAAATCAGGAACAGAAGGAAAATGCAACATTCACAAATTTGTCGAAATTAAGTAACATCTCTTAAATCAATTGATCAAAGAAGAAATCACAAGAAAATTAGAAAATACTTAGAAACAAATGAAGATGAAAAATCTTCAGCACAACAGAACTATGGAATGCAGTGAAAGCAATTCTAAGAGGGGAAATTTATAGCTATAAACACATTTAAAAACAGAAAAGATTTTAAATCAGCAATCCGAGTTTACTACTTAATGCACTAGGAAGAAAAGAATAGACTACACCCCAAACTAGTGGAAGGAAGGAAATGATAAAGATGAGAATGGAGATAAACAAAATAGAGAATGGGAAAGCAGTAAAGAAAATCCATAAACAAAAAGCTGCTTCCTTGAAAAGATCATCAAAGTTGACAGACCTTTAGCTATATGGGCTAATTAAAAAAAGAGAGACTCTGATTACTAAAATCAGAAATGAAGTGGGAACATTATCACTGATTCTACAGAAATAAAAAGGATTATCAGAGAGTACTGTGAACCGTTGTATACCAGCAAAGAGGAAAACTTAGATAAGTGGACAAATTCCTGGAAACACAGAACCTACCAAGACTGCATCACAGAGACACAGAAAGTCTGAACAGACCTACGACTGGTAAGGAGACTGAACCAGTAATCAGAAATCCCCAACAGAGCAAAGCCTAGGACCGGACAACTTCACAGGTGAATTCTACCACTTACAGCAGAATTAACACCAATCCTTCCCCAACTTTTCCCAAAAACTGAAGGGGAGAGAAACTTCCCAGCTCATTCTATGGGGCCAGCCTTACCTTGATATCAAAGTTGGACAGAGACATTGTAGGAAAAGAAAACTATAGACCAACATCCATGATGAGCACAGATGCAAAAATCCTCCATGAAATACTAGCAAACAGAATTCAGCAGCATGTTACAAGGACTATATAGCACGACAAAGTGGGTATTTCTGAAATGGAACTGTGGTTCAACATACAAAAACTGATCAAGGTACTATGTCCCAGCAACAGGATGGAGAGGGAAACCACATGATCATCTCAACTGATGTAGGTCTGCAAAGCATTTGACAAAATTCAAATTTCTGTAGAAAAGCATTTGACTAAATTTAATGATAAAAACACTCAACAAACTAGGAACAGATGGGAACTACCTCCACATGAGAAGAGCCGTGGATGAAAACCTAGAGGAAACATCACTAATGGTGAAAGACTGGAAGCATTTTCTCAACAAAGAGGAACAAGGCAAGGTTGATGCTTTCACCACTTCCATTCCGCATGGTGCTGGAAGTTCTGGTCAGAGCAATGAGGCAAAAAAAAAAAAAAAAAATAGATGAAATACCTCCAAGTTGGGACAGTAGAAGTAAAATTATCTCCGCATATAATGTTGTTTGTATAAACCCTTGAGGTGACATGAACACAAAGCCTGCTTAGGACTAACACGTGACTGCATCGAAGTGTCAGGACATAGTCAACACACAAAACTCCGCTGTGTTTCTGTGCATGAACGATGAACAATCTGAAGAGGGAATCACAGAACAATTCCATTTACAATCGCATCAAAGAGAAGAAAATGCACAGGAAACGCGCGTACGGTGACAAGGCAAGCCACTGCTCAGAGGCTGGAGGCCATGAGCGAGTAAAGACACAGTCCATGTCCGAGGTTTGGGGGACAGGCTGCTGCTGCGACGGGCGGTACATTACACATAACTCTCGTCGAAATCCTCACGGCATGTTTTCCAGAAACAGAAAAACCCATCCTCAGTTTCATATGGAACCTCAAGGGACCAACAACCTTGAAAAAGAACACACTTGTTATATCCACTTAAAAACCTGAGCCTGGGTCGAATGAAGCCTCCAGCTGCACCCCCCGATCTCTGGAGAAGCGGTGGGAAGAGCCTGCCAACCACCCAAGCAGACGGGTCTCTGTGGCAGCAGCAGTGCGGCCGGTGCCCAGGTCCAAGGAGTGCGCGTCAGCCAGGACTCTGGAGATGCGTGCTGGGCACCGTGCCTGCCCCTGGGATGCAGTCTGGCCCTTGGGGTTCTTGGGAGGAAAAAGGCTGGTTGAGGGGAAGGGGAGCCCAACCAAATGCAAGATTTCAGAGACATCATCATGTGCAACGTGGAGATTCTGTGGAGACACCAATCCAAACGTGTCAATGGCAAAGACCTTCCCAATCAGGGAAAAGGGACTGCAAACTTGCTGCTGGGTGACAGAAAGGGTTATCATTAATCTGTTAGCCATCACCATGGCATTGTGACTAAGCTGGGTTTTTTTAGTCCTTATGAATTAGAGGTGCACATATTGAAGTTCTGATGGGTGAAAATGACCTCTGATTGGAAACGTGCTTTAAAATACTCCAGGAAGGAAGCCTGGGTGGCTCAGTCATTAAGCATCTGCCTTTGGCTCAGGTCATGATCCCAGGGTCCTGGGATTGAGTCCCACATCAGGCAGTTCCTGCCCTTTTTGCAAGAGAACAAGTTTAGAGACTCACTGGAGGTGAGGCCTCAGTTAAATTGGGCCTCCCACCTCCTCCTAGCCCACACCCACTGCCCCCCACCCCACACCCCTGCCCTCAGTTCTCACCCCCTGGCCCGATGCTCACTTCCTCCTCCCTCACCTCCTGCCATACAGTCGGAACAACTACAGAATGGCCATCTTGGCTTGGTCAGGATGGCACAGTGCTGGCCATTGATGGGCACCTGTTGAGCTGGGGACTTAGGGCTCCTCCAGTGCTTGGTCCTTGGCCCTGCAGTGTCTTTCATTCCATTATCACACTTCAAAATCCTTCAAAAACTAGAGAGGTGAAGGAACTTTGCCACCACTGTGCTTGGAAAGGACCCAAGGTCCAGACCTCTTTTTATCTTGTTCCCTGGGATTTGCTGCAGTTGCCCTGCCCAAGTGTGGCCGCCATATGTCCCTTCTCACAAAAATCAATTGACAGAATTATCCAATGAACTACAAGCTCTCCATGGGCAGTGTCACTTGTAACTGACCTGTTTCAAGGGAAGTGCTGCTAAAGCAGCAGAAATGGAAACGTTAATGTTTGTTTTCAGTTTTTATTTTTCACTTTCAACTGCTTTTTATTTCCACGTAGGGGAACGAGAGGAGAAATGCATAATAGAAGACATTCCAAGCGACACACTGGTAACAGGTACGTACGATGTGCTCCACTGAATGTTGAACTCAGCATGTCATTTTACGGAACGGTCCTAGTTTCTCGGTGCATATATTACCTGGTTCACGCTGTGCGGTATCCTCTTGAGAGAGTTTATCAGGTTATGCAAACTTAACATGAAAGTAGCCTTTGGAGTGAATTGTACTGAATCACAAACTGGGGAACAAAGATAGGATGCCACAGAATCCAAGCCTGATTTGTTTTTCTGGTTGTCAGTTTTCCTCAAGTAAAAGAATTTCTGATACCATTAATCATGCTAATTATGGTTGAATTCTTTAAAGATGAATGATGTCTCCCGCCTGGTCCGGGGCAACAGTGAGAAACAGCGGATGTGGGAGGGCTCTGAGCCTCAGCTCCTGGAGCCCCTGCAGCCTGATGGCGAGTGATGTGGGCCGTGCACGTGTGTGCAGAACCGAGGCTACTTTCCAAGCAGAATGCCCGCGAATCCGGCTCTTGGCACGTGATTTCTGCCCATTCCCCACACTGCCACCAAACACATCTCCATATGGCTGCGCTTACCTGGCCTCTGGAGAAAGAAACAAGCACCCACGGGTTTCAGAATTGTATGGCAAATACAGTATATTCAAGTTCAGTTGATACCAAATTTCCTGATTTTAATGCAAAAGAGGAAAAAAACCAGCAGAATCTAACCCTAGTAGTATTCTCCAGAAGTCCATCATGGATTTTTACATCCAGTTCTATCTTACATTGGCTAGTGCCAAGTTCTCCTCTCTATTTCTCTTGGCCGTTACATCCGGGTGTTCTGTGGCGAAGCATCTTAAGCCACCCTGCATCAACCCATCCAACACACACAGCACCCTGTGGAGCCAAAGCCAGAGTCAGCAGTGTGAGACCAGGCTGGGGAGGAGCAGAACTGGCAGAAGGCACGGGGAGGAGAGCCGGGTGGTGTGGAGACGCCCACGGCAGCTGTGGCTGCTGCGGGAACTGTGTTTGGGGCTGTGAGGCATGAGCAGGGCCGCCTAAGAGCTGTGCATCCCTGGGCAAGCTACTGAACCTCTCTGCTTCATTTGTGAAATGGGATAAAAATAATGACATCTGTCTCTTCTTGTTGTGATAATGTTGGGATTAATATCTGCAAAGTTCTTAGAATGCAGCCAGACACATAGAACATCACTCTAAGTGTTTGCTCACGCCGCCTGACCCCAGCTCTCTCATCCCAGAGGACATTTGACTTGGGTGAATAGCTCCGTGGCTGCGGACCATTTTCCTAGGGACCTGTGAATTTCAGCCTGCATTTGAATGGGCAGAGGAGGAATAAGAGGGACAGGAGGAGCCTGCCTACACTTCCTGCTGCCTGGTCCCCCAGCTGGATGGACATGTCCCGGGACACACCCGTGACAGTGAGCCCGAGGATCACCTGAACCCTCTGGAGGGGCCTGAGGCCAGAAGGCAGATGCAGCCAGACAGTGCTCTGCAGCTAGGGGGAGGACGGGTCTCATGCTGGCCAGGCCCAAGGCCTGAGCCAGGAGACTCTTCTACTCCTCATCCAGACTGTACTGTACTGGTCCTTCTCAACTCTGAATTCCCCTTGCCCTGCCTCCTCAGCCTCAACTCTGTCCTGCCCAGTCTGTGGTCTCCTCAGCCGGCCCCCCCCATGCAACTATTTCAGGTAGAGCTCAGCCCCCTGAAGTGTGTCGTAACTACAAGGAAATTGTGGAGACACATCAGCTCACACATTTTGATGTTTTTAAAGATAGAATACGGTCCTGGGGCACCTGGTTGGCTCAATCATTACAACATGTGACCTTCGATCTTGGGGTCATGAGTTCAAGCCCCACACTGGGTGCAGAGATTACATAAAATAAATAAATGAAATTAAAAATTAAAAAAAATTTAAATGTCACCAGTTATAAAACATTATTATTAAAAAAAAAAATACTTGGTTAACCCTCCACCTGAAAAAAGGCAAGAAAGAAAGGATAAGGCACAAGGAACAAATAGGGTAAATGGAAAACAAATAGCAATATGGCAGTCTTAAACCCAACTACATTTTATATTACACTAAGTGAAAATGGGCAAAACTCTCCAATTGAAAGACAGAGATCATGAGACTAGACTTAAAAACAAAACACCTATATACTGTTCCCAAATGAAACACTACTTTTTGAGGGGGTAGGGGCAAAGGGAGAGGGAGAGAAAACCTCAAATAGCCTCCAGGACCAGCCTGGAGCCCAGTGCGAGGCTTGATCTCACAACCTTGAGATCATGACCTGAGCCAGAATCAAGAATCAGACTCTTAACCTAATGAGCCCCCCAGACACCCCCTAAATGAAATACTTTAAATAGAAGGAAAGGCTGAAAGTTAAAAGATGGAAAAGACATACATGTAAAGATAAATGAAAGAAAGTGTCGTCAGAGCAGACTTTATGACGCTAAGTATTACCAGAGTAAAAGACATGCAAGGACCAGTGTTGGGTTTAATAACAGAAAGATGTTCTGCATGAGTTTCCTACTTGACTATTTTGAGTTTCTTCTAAGAGAATTTTGAGCACTTGAGCATGCCAAACCATCAATTAAGTCTATATTCTTATCATTACTTTTCCTTTAACTATGATTATATCTTTAATCATTAGCCCACTGCTTTGATGTCCTAAATAATGTAGTAGCATACCAAAATACAGTTCTTAAATGTTTCTTTAAAGAATCCCTTTGATGAAGAAAGTACTCTCTGCTCTCTTGTTCATTATATGCTGCAAGCTCCTGTCTCTACATTCAGGACCTTGGCTGTAGATCAAGGGTGGGCAGGACCAGAGTTCACCTGTCCACAGCATGAATGCACTCTGGAAGGCTGGAGGCCAGCTTCTTTGGAGCTCTGAGTGCCTATGCTGCCTGAGCCGGAAAATGACTTTGTTTTCTGTCCCTCCACCGTCCATGAAATCCCTGACTCTACTCAGCGCATGTGTGGTGGCAAACGCACGCACCAAACCACATAGTTAAGAAGTGCTCATCCATAGTACATGCTCATATTTAATTTTTAGATCGCCATGGAAGTGAAAACACAAATTTTAAGTTTTTCTGGGGATCGGTGGGGTTCTGAGACCCTGTCTGATATCTCTGGTCCCAGGGAGCACACACAGCGATATCTCTTGTCTCTTTTCCTCTGAGGCACAGAGGAATCCCATGAGAGACACCCGTCTAGGAAGTTGGAGAGAGATGACCTCAGAGCCAGTCATCCACATTTGCCCAGACATGTGTTTTTGCTTATTGGGACTACAAATAACTAGACCGTGGGGACTCGGAGGAATCGGCCTTCTGCCGTCCCCAGGGGGAGGCTGCCCGGAGTGCCACAGAAGACAGCGACTTTCGCATCAACACCCTCATTGCCCAATAGCTTGGTGACTTTGGGCTATGTTTCCTTATCTGTAACCTGCTGCTCACACCTGCCCTGGGGCGCCGCAGCACCTGGTATGGTGGATGGCCAGACACCCGCTGTTCACCTGTGAGTTCCCACCCTCTGGCGCTCCATCTCTGGCCTTATCATCTTGGCCTTGCAGGCTCGATTCTGAACCACCAAAGCAAGTGTGGCCGTGGCTCCGGCTCAACCACCACCCTGCCCCCAGGCCCAAGAGGAAGGACACTGCCTGAGAAGCAGGGGAGAGCCCTGCGTCACCTTCCACTCCCCAGAGGAGGCTGGGAGGGCGTGGGAGAGGCCCCATGTGCCTGTGCACTGCCTAGCCCAGGGCACTGCCAACAGATTCAGGATAAAAAAATCCCGGTTCCATAAACTTGCTTAGAAACTTCAGAGTCAACTTCAGAGTCAAATACATTCTGTTTTCTTACATTGTTTTGCTTAGTTCTTCCTAGTAATGTTCTTTGCTAATAAATCCTAGATTGTCATGAATGGAAAAAGGGAGTGCGGCCTTTCTGGGGGAGAGATAAGAGAAGAGGGAGGGAACTCTGGCATGGGCAGCTATTCTGATGAGTTTTAAAGCACTTGCTTGCTGGTCCTTGGAGACATTTTTCAAACAAGGCTGCTGGTTTCTTTGTAAAAGGCAAGCAGCGAGGGAGGGCACTGTGCCAGGAGCACAGTGACCATAATGTGGGAGACTGCTCATTAGAAAGAAATAATTAGAATTTAGAACCAGTGAAATTTTGCTCCTGGATGGTCCTGTTCAAAAGGTCCCTGGATTTGATTCACTTTGCCAAAGTACCCAGGATTCTGTTTTTAATTCAGAGTACACACCCTGTTAGAAACAGGAGACAGGAGAAGAGGAAGGCATCACCAAGTCAAAGATCAATCTCATTCGTCCTCTGGAGCAGTCCCAACCATGTATTTGGGTTTTGTTTTGTTTTGTTTTGTTTTTTTTTAAAAGATTTTATCTATTTATTTGACAGTGAGAGGGGGAGCACAAGTAGGGGGAGCAGCAGCAGAGGGAGAAGCAGGCTTCCCACTGAGCGGGGAGCCTGATGTGGGACTCGATCCCAGGACCCTGGGATCAGGGCCCCAGCCGAAGGCAGACACTTCAACGACCAAACCCCCCAGGCACCTCATCCAACCGTGTCTTCAAGTCTTCATGGGACACCACAACACACCTCAGGGGTGTCTCAGGTCAGGCATCTTCTGAAGCCTACCCTGAACCAAGGATTCTGCGCAAGTAGTTCACTGAGGAGATACTCTGAGGAGACAGAGGGAAAGCAGCCAGGCCGGGGACCTTTCAGATGAAGCCGGTTGGTTTCGCGCTGAGCCCGGGGGCGCAGGGACATGCAGTAATCCTACAGACACATGGCCCCTCACTTCCCCGGCTGAGGAGACCCTGCAGGAGCGAAGGCGGGCCAAGTCAGGTGCCTGCACCTGGTGGACAGATAGATAGCATGTGGCATCCACATGATGGGATATCATTTTGTCCCAAGAAGGAATGAAATAAATAACAGTGACATTCTGACACTTGCTGGGGGTGATGGGGGGTGGTGAAGCCGAGAGGCATCAGTCGTTGAGCTACAGTGGCCGAAGGAGG